TGAACTGAAATAAAATAGATTGAAAAACAAATTGGTGTGCCCTGGCTCCTCGTACTGGATTTTACATTATCCTCTGGGAGAGCTGCCTGCTTTGGCCCTTTGGAGCACACCAGAGAAAGGTAATGACCCCTCAGACTCTTTCAGCACTTGAAAGACTGAATTACTTTAGGTGGGAGCGATAAGAAAATTGAATTGCAGCACATGATTTTCTGGCTTTCCAGCAGCCCTCTTTGTAAGGTCATCATCTTAGTAACAAGAAAACAGGAAACTGGTAAACACACGCAGAAAGTATTCAGATTCTGATTTAAAGCTGTCACTGTCCTTAACTCCTCAGAGCTAAAAACGGAAAGTTGCCCATCACTTGGAGGCTCCTGTCGTACCCGAGGGACTGGAGAGCCGAGGAATACAAGAGAATGAACCTCAGCTTTCTGTTCTGCATTTACTGATCTACACGAACCTTGTGAAACGAGCCTTTGAGTAAGTGCAAAACGGGCAGCGATGGGGTGAGCTCCTCTCAGAGGGGCAGGGGGCCTGCGCTGACTTCAGTGACCGCTTCGGATGTTCGCTCCCTGGAGCAGAGAGCTGAGAGCGCGGGGAAGGGAGGGTTGTTGGGCTGCTCCGGTGAGACCCTCCCAGCACTTCTAACAGAAGTGGCGTTTACTTAAGACAGAGAAGTTGGATTCTTCCATGTTTCTTATCTCTCTGTCCGCTGTGGTTTTTTCCTGCCTGCTGTGTTTTAGCTTTTTAGAGCTTGCACAGGAGCCGCGGTCTCCTCGGTCCCCTGGGTGAGCTGCACTTCCCTGTGCTGGCGGCAGGGGGAGCACGAGGCGGCGGGGCCCTGCCGTCGGGCCCCGGGCTGGTCCCGCTGAGCTCCTTGGCACTGCAGCAATACTTCTTGGGTTTTCCTAATTTATTTTTTTTTTTACCAAAAGCTAAAAAATGCCTGCTCCATGTGCATCCCCCCAAGGAAGAATTTCAGGCATGGAATGAATCTTCAAGCGGGCCACTGAGGTGCTACTAATCAGTGCAGGAGACAGCTTTTGGTGTTACTTCATTAATGCCAGCAGGTGTGTTGACCAGCACCTTGTAAAAGCCCTTAATTATGGCAGTGAGGGGCACACAGAATCCTTTTGTTAAGGCCATGGCAGCATTAAAATTCTTTCTGTGCCTTGTGATGGGTGTTCTGATGGTGTGAGGGTACTGCGGCAGCCTCCGAAGTGCAAGGAAGGGATTGTCTCATCTGTGCGTCTTTGGAGCACCTATCTCTGTAGCATCTAATTGCTAAAGTGCTCAGTCCTAAATTTCAATTATCTTTTGATGAACCTAGTGACGTGGATGGCTTTTGAATCTGCTGAATTTACATGGAAGTAATTATATGAATAATGAAGAGAAGTAATTTAATTTGGAAACTCCTTTTCAGTTATGTGGATAGAATTGGGTGTTCCTGTTTCCTCCTTCTCTGTGATGAAACGTTGTTGCTATCAACATATCCTTTTCCTGTTCTAATGTAGCTTAAAGAAAAGGATGTGATCCCCTCAAACTGTGGAGGTAGGTATGTGACAACAGAAATACCCGGAAAAAGGAGGAAAAAGCTGAAACTGGACAGTGGAGGGTAATGTTTGCTGCAGATGTGTTCTGGACCTCCTGAACTTGGGAGGTTCGGAAGAAGGGGTGTCTTTGCTGAGGTGGGTTTCCCGAGAGCAGTCACAGATGATAACTGCTGCTTAAGGGAGATAGGAGGATATTTATTGACATGTGGTTAGGTAGAGCCTTAGGAATTTTAGGCACTTTTGAAAATTTGGCTCAAATTGACTGACTTTGCAGTCTCGCAGGAAGTCGGTGGAAGGAAAACTCCTAAGCCACCTTGGTGTTCTCCCTGGGAAGCTGGCAGGACGGGGCTGAAATGTCCCCTGATGTTCCTCAAAAGATTAATTTTGCAAAGCCTGTTTGTTGTGCAGCTAAGATGAGCAAATATCTCATTTGCTTTTTTTTCTTTGTTTCCTTTGTCCCCTTTTCTGACTTAAATGAGCTGATATTTTGGAAGAGGGCAGTGCTCATGTGGCTGAGGTGTCAGAGGCCCCAGAAGCAAGCCACTTAAACCATGTTTTACCTTAAGTTTGAAATTCATAGAAAGTACCCAGTGAACCTGGCTCCAAAGAGGTTGCAGAGAAGCAGCTTTAAGCTGAAAAAGTGACAAATGGCGTTTTCTTACCAGTGGTGCTGGCAGAGGCAGGTGGGTCATGCTCTGTAAGCACTCATCACTGCTGATGTATTAGTTACATGCTCTCACAGAGATTCCCAGTTCAGCCCAGTCCCCCAGCCAAATCTCCTGAAAGCCATCTAGAAGGTGGCTGGGAGATGAAACCAGGCAAATTTGAGTAAGAAATGAGGCATGTAATTTAACGGTGAGAATAACTTGCTGGAAGAGAAGCTTTAGCCAAACCCAAGTTGCTGAGTCTGGAAATCTAGGAGGCAGTGACAGATGAGAAATTGCATTGCTGGTGGTGGTCCCTTCTGGCCGTAAGCTTTGAATAAAAGCCTGAAGCGTGTTCTAAGTAGGGGGCAATTGCCTTGAGGATGGTCATGGCCATCACCCCTCATTAAAAAATGTTTGTTCTCTTTGGCAGTACTGGATGTTTGGGTCTCTATAATGAAAGAAGTAAAATGTATTTAAACAAATATGTCTGATCTAATTGCTCAGGAGACATTTTCCAGTGCTCTGAGTTGCTGTAATAAAGAAGGGGAGGTGCTGCTAGGCTGCTTAGAGCTTTACTGTTTTGAGCTGTCTTGGGCAAATGTGTCTTCTATATTCTTGCCAGGAATAGATGGAGCAGACGGTGCTGCTGCTTCTTCCAGCTTGCCACAGTGGAAGCGATAGGTTTTATGCAGAAGCCTATTCATGGCAAAGTGAGCAGGCATCTCCTCCAGGAGATTGATGTTTCCTGCTTGTCCTTTTGTAGGAAGAGCCACAGCTATTATTATTTAACCAGCAGACCCAATTTCATCTCAGATACTGGAAGTCCTTCAGCTTCAAGGAAGCAGTGGGTGGACTAAAAATGCTGTTACATTGAGCCTGGCAAAAGAATCAGGTCTCTCTCTTCTCCCACCACCAGCAGCAGCTCCTCTGATGGCAGCTTGATTACTCATGATTTACAACATCGTGGGAGGATAGCAGAGCCTTTGTGTTTAATAGGCTGGAAGTGCAGGTGGCTGGCCCTGTGCATGGGTGAGGGGATGGATCTGGTACTTGCAAAGTAGCAGAGATGAGCTGCAGACCATACAGCCTTTGGTAGCGATGCGCCTGGAGAAGCTCTGGCTCCTGGGAAGCAGGGAGGTGGGGTATCAGCAACTACTTAGGTTTCCCCGCCTTCCAGAAAAGGACTCACCTACCCTATGCTCTCACTTCAAAGGTATTCAGATGGAGAGCATGACACCTCTGCTTTGAGGTGATGTCAAAACCATCTGTGATCTTATCCTGATGACTGAAAAGCAAGTTACATAGTACTTCATCTTTAAAGCACAGGGGAGCTCTTGGCTGAGCAGGGGAGCTCTCATGCATGGATGGTATCCACCAAACAGTTGCTCAGCTGTCTGTAGCTTTGGTATGAAGTGATGTCTCTTGGCTCCTCCTGTCTTCCCACAGCCTCCACAGGCAGTGCCATCAGAAGGACAGCTGGAGTCCTGCCTGCCTGTGGGCAGGAGGTCCTGCTTCCCACAAAGTCTGAACTCCAGAGGGGTTGGCACCTTGCGGGAGTGAGATGCCAACTCAGCCTGCACCCAGCGTCTGCTTGCAACTTGCAATTTGGTGTAAGTAGGGAGTTACTCTGAGCCTGCTTTAATGTGAGGCAGCGCTTCAAGGTGGTGTATGAGCATTGGCTCATTAAAGCCTGTGCCCTGATGATAGGCAATATTACTCCTGTTTTCTACAAGAGAGTAGGAAGTTGAGTGCGAAGATGTTAAGCAGTTGAAGGTCGTGTAAATTGTGTCCATCCAGGTGCTCTTCATCTGATGCTCATGCTGTTTTGTTTCAGCATCATTGCCAGCACCAGTGTTAGGCATCCTAGTACGTAGACAAGGCAGTAACATCTTTATCTTGTCTAGTTTAGATAAAAACTCCAGATACCCCGCTGATAAAAATTCTGTTGGCAGATGTCCTATCTGTTCTCCCTCCTGCAATGGGGAGGGGGAGAAAGTAAAAGGGAGGCTCTGCTAGATGGGATTGGGGTTGTGGACTTCTGCAAGCAATTACAGTTTGGGTGAAAAGACTTGTAAATTGATGAGTTAGGACCATGGTGTGCTGAGAAGGGAGGTGCTGAAGGCCCTGGGCTGCAAGCAGACCTCTTATCTGTAATGCTTGCTTGCCCCTGCTGATCTTAGCAGTGATGTGGGGAGAAAATTAACTGGTCCCAAACCACTTATTGTTTTGCAGGTCAAAACCAACACCTCAGATTCTCCACTCTTTTTGGTAGATGGTCTGAACAGGTCTCCCTGCACTGCTTCCCCACCTGCCCTTTCAGAAACCAGCTGCTGAATTTAGCATCAGCTCCAGCTTCTGGATGCAGGCAAAGCCTGGCACTACAGTGCCTGATCTGAAGAGCATTCACACCTCCTTGAGCTGTGTGGTAGGAGGCACACCAGAGTCTATTCTCCGTTTTTATAGCTCCTGGGACTCAGTACTCATTCCCAGATTCTTTCTGGAGTAGTTATATTTGAACAGTATCTAGACTCTTTAGCTCTAGTAGATTAAGTTGCTGAATTTGGGGAGTGTGCATTCAGAATGGGGCCTTTTGCTATAACCACTGAACTGCAGCATAGTAAACTACTGGAGGGTGTAAACTGAAAAGTAATTTTTGCTTAGTATTTCTTTCTGTCTGGCTACTCTCTGAGGAAACTGCTAACAGGATTTTTTTTTGTTGTTTGTTTTCTTTTTCCCCCACTAGCTGGGCCTGTGAAAGCAGTGTGAAGACCACGATGAGAGGAGGCCAGTAGACCCTGGTGCCATGGAGCTTCCCAGCTACAGCAAGCAGCTGCTGCAGCAGCTATACACTCTCTGCAAAGAGCAGCAGTTCTGCGATTGCACCATTGTCATTGGGAATGTTCATTTTAGAGCACACAAGGTGGTTTTGGCTGCTGCCAGCCTGCTTTTCAGATCCTTGTTGGACAGCACAGACACCATCTCCATCGATGCTTCTGTGGTGACTCCTGAGGAGTTTGCACTTTTGCTGGAGATAGTGTACAGTGGCAAACTCCCACTGGGCAAACACAATTTCACCAAAGTTATCTCCGTGGCAGATAGTCTGCAGATGTTTGATGTGGCTGTTAGTTGCAAAAACCTCCTCAGGGACCTCATCGGCTGTTCTACTCAGGACCAGGCAGTGAGAGAAGTCTCCAGCCAGGCAGCAGACTCATCTGAAAACCATGCTGAAGCTGATAACCTCCCTCAGTCTGAAAAACCTGATGGAGGAAGAACAGATATCCTCCTCCCTCGGAGAGTTTCCCCTTTTCGTGGCCCTGTAGAAGCAGAAATGGAAGCAAATGTTTCTCCTCCTGGCCAGGAACTTGGCATGAATCACACCTGGGCTCACCAGGACGCAATGTCCAGTGACTCCAGATCCCTCCAGGAGGATTCCGGCTTTCCTCCTGATCAGGCTGCCTGTGCCGAGCAGGGCGGCTGTGTGGAACAGGAGCTTGCTGAGCCTCGGGAGGAGAAGGGCGGAGTGAGGGATTTAGGTGAGACTTTACCGGTCTGGGCACAGCATTGCTGCTTATTTGCAACCGCGCTGACCAACATGTTCCTGTTATGGGGGACCTTTTCCTCAGTTCTTTTTAGGTTGCCCTCAGTTAGGAGCAGCATCAACACGTACCCCTCTTCTGCAGGGACTTTCTTGCCTTGGCACTGTGCAATACTCTCCTTTGGCCTTTGCAGTTGCTTCACGCTCACCGCTTTACCTGAGCCGTAGTGAGCAAGACTTTTCCTACTCATGCATGTGATTACATCTGATGTTCAATGGGATCAGTGTTAGTGCCGGACATGAGGTTGATAAGGCTGTTTGTATAACAGTAAGTGAACAAAGTTGCCTGCTAATGCTACCTTATCCTTTAAACTCCTGTTCAGCATGGGAGGAAAACAGAGGCTGTACTGGGTTTAAAATAAATGTTCCATTTATAACTGGTGTTAAATAAACTGTTGGTTTTCCCTCCAGGCTGTATGATATGTTCAGAAGGGATTTGTGAGTCACGGTTTCCCTATTATAGCCAGTGTGCTGGTTACAAACTGATGCCTTTCAATCACATCGTGCTTTCTGTGAGTCCCTTCAATTAGCAAATAACTCATCTTGTTTCTCTCACACAGCAGCAGAGAGCAAAAGCTGTAAACTGGATTTCTTTCTTCGATATGAAAGTGTTTTCTGTGAGGCCCTTTCTGATGCCCGAGCTGTGCTGAAAAGACTAGAAGAGTGCAGAGAAATTGATGCCTCTCAAAAGGAGGTAGGTGTGTTTACTTGGGTAGATGATAGAAGTTTTTTCTTCGCCCTGCTGAGGGCTAGAATGGTTTGTGCAATATTTCAGAAATTGTTTCCTGGACAACTGGGGCTCTGGTGCGTGGTTGTTTGAAGGGCAGCACATGCTCACCTGAACAACACCCTGAACAGAAGCATCTGTAAGAGCAAGCTGCTTGTGCATGTAGGTAAAGAAGTATATGTCCTGCCCTGAAGACATCTTCATTGTGTTGTAGGAGAGCCCCAGTGCTGATTTCACTTCTGTTTATGGCATGTGCTTTGGGAACTGTATCAACTTGTAAATGACTGATGTATGAGATCACAAAATAGACTTCCAAGCCCTTGGTGAGGGCTTGCTGTGGAGCATCTGCTCCACTCTACATACAGCAGGCTGCTCCTGGGGAGCATTATGGGGGGATTACGGGTGCCGCCCCGCAGCGCTTCTCCTGGCGTTGTGCCACTTTAAAAGCAGTTGTTGCTGATGAATGATACTTGGAGGGGATATTTGAGTCTGGTGCTTGGTTAATGCTGAAGGATGCTCTGGGCTCTGAACAATGGTAGCCGGATACCAGCTGTTGCAGTGGCTCAAAGCCACCACAGGAACAGCAGGTTATGTCCTTATTGGTGTGGCAGTGGTGCAGGAGGACACAGAGCATAGAAACGATTGCGGTGGGTCTGGGTGGGCACTCGTGCTGGCTGCATGCTGCTATGTGCTGGTCAGTATGGTCTGAGGATGGGACTGTGCTTGCTCTCCTCGTCCCGGCTGTTTCTGATAGTGTTTTTCATACAAGAGTGTATGAACTGCCCTGCGTACCTTCAGCTGGAAAGCTGTCTGGATTTGAACCACTTGGTCCCTCCAGTTACCAGCGTGACTATGGGACACAGGACACTTTGGCTGTGGTGGCATTCTACTTTTAAAAACCCAAGGCAGTGTGTTTATTAGAAAAAAAAAACCCTGTATGACAACAGGGAGGAGAATTCCCTTGACATGCAGAGTGCAGGTTTCTTTTCTGATGAGCCTTTAAATGTTCATGGAGGGAAGCCAGTGTTCCCTTAGCTGCTGACCCTGCTGCTGGTGTTGAACTTAACATCTCTGGGGCTTTAGGAGGGAGATGTGGGTCCTAATTCATGTTTGTAGCAGCAAGCCCAAGCCTGACTGGGCTGACAAGTGCCTATGAGTGCATCTCTCTCAGCATGCCTGTGTGCCCCAAGAAGGATTAGGTTTTTGTATGTTTGTTTGTCGCCCTGATCAGAAAAATATGTCACGTTTAGGGTTTTACCTATTCCTTACCTTGGCAATTGGAGCAGATCTGGGCAGGGTGCTGTGTGATGTGGATAGGTGCTTCCTGAAGGGATTTGGCAGCTCCATGCACCCTTGCCAGCGCATCACTCGTGCCCGCATACCTTCCCTTGCCTGCTTGTGCTGCCTCCATGGTCACGGGGCAGAACCACACCTGCAAAGTGCCCAGGCAGCGCTGCCTTGCTCCTGCTCTGCATAACAGCCCCATTTTCTGTTGCTTTGCCATAACTGTTGTTTCATGTTTCTGCAGCACCTCCAAGACCCAGCAGGTAAGGTTCGCAGAACCCTGCCTGGCCCTTTGTGCTCCCAAATGAGCTGTTGCAGCAGGAGCCAAGTGAGAGCTTGTGGAGCTCAGAGACAGTTTGGGTGTCTGACCGCAAAATGGCAGCTGGACAATTTTTCTGCAGCTATAAATAAATGCTGAACAAATGAGAAATGGATTTTCTTTAAGCCTTCCTAAAAAAATCACTTCTCAGCCGTGACAAGCATGAAAAGTGTGAGCCCCAGGGCAGTGGTGGGGACAGACTGCAGCCTGTTGTAAGCGAGGGCTCAGCTGGATCTGTCCCTCTCTGAGCTCCCATCTGGGACAAGCAGGACCTGTGGGCACCAGCACCGAGTCTGGGCTCTGTTTCCAGCTTTTACCTACAAGGGCCTGGTGTTTTCTTCACGGGAAACCCAGTGATGTGTTTTTAAAGTTGTGCTTAAAGTGCAAGTTTAGCTCTAAAGAGCCCAGCTTGGGATGTGTAATCAAGGCTGAGATTGTGCCAGTGGGTAGACATCAATGGATTCTTTTTTTATCTCTCCTTTTGTTTTTTTTTTTTCTCCTCACCTTTTTTGTATTATTTTGCTAGTCATTTGCTTGAAGTCTCTTAGCTGCCTTGGGGCAAGTAAAAGTTGGTCTGGAAGCTGGTGAGATGCTGTTTCTTTGCACTAAGCAGTCTTGCTGGGCATGCTTGCCCTGCCGCAGGGGAGATCTGTCTCTCGTGCATGTCATTCCTCTGCTCAGGAGCCTTTTGTGGGTGGCTTATCTCTACAGGCAAGCAGTGATGTGTTTTGGACAGCAGAGCCTGGGCAGCATGGGGGCTTGCGGGTGTTCATAGGGGTTTTGCGAGCCTGCCTGTTGGCACAGAGGCCGTGGCTGTCCAGGTGTTCAAGCTCCTCTGGTTTCAATGGGATTTTTCCTTGAATGTAGCTTCTGTATTTCTGTTCCTTTGGTTGTGAGCTTGTCCCTGCATTGGTGCCTTGTTCCCCACAGCACTCCTGTCTGCTCCCCTCCGGTGTTGCTGCCTTATTTCCTGCCACCTCCAGTGGAGACTTGTTAGGTTATGGGGTTTTTCCCCAAGGAGGTTTGTGGTGCAGGGCTTGCTCTTGTGAGAATTATTGCTTCTCTTTAAGTTTGATGTTGCATTCTACTCCCTGGGCTGAAAAATGTGGATGAGTTGCTTTTCTGTTTAGGAAGATGTGTTTTTTGGGGCTGTTTTTGTTTTAGAGTCTCTCTATATCTCACATAAACTATTCCTATCTAATTTGGTTCTGGCTTGGATGAAGCCTGCTTGGAAATGAGAACAAGACTGAAATTGCAGTAATTTGGGGAAGCGTAGAAGAGCTTTGCTGGTGTCAAGTCTTATCTTCCTGTGCTCTCTTAGAGAAACTCAATTCAAATTATTGCACAGCTCATTTGTTCCCACTGCTACTGGGTTCAGATGAAGTAGGGGAGCGTTGATTCTCCCACGTAGAATAAATGTCACTGCTTCTGGATCATTTCCATTGCCTATGGGCCTGTCCAGTTATTGTCGTTCTTTGTTTGCAGCTGCAGGGGTTTCTGGATGTGGCAGAAGAAAGAAGTTTCCCATTATCTTCTGCATCCTGATCAGGAGTGATAGCTTGTGAGGTTTTTTTTTCATGGTGACAGAGCTGGAGAACTTTTTTCCCCTGTTCTGGTGTACTTGTGTGAAAGTTTGGGCTGAGCTTTTGTTCCTGTTGTGTGGAACAAGCAGGGGTCAGCATTCTCCATGGAGCCTTCCTGGTGCTGGGGTCTCCCTCATCAGTCACATGCAAATGCAGGCTTGAAAAAAAAAAGCACTTCAGATTTCTGAAACAGAAATGGGAAGGAAGTTTTTTCTGTGATAATTGTATGCACAGTGATAGTTGATTGACTTCATGGTGCAGTCATAGCTTAGGAGCTTCTCTGTGGTCCAGATGTGTAGAGCCTGTGTCCCTGTGCTGCCCATACCACTGATCCTGTGGGCAGCAGCTCTGTCTGTGCAGGTTTCCAATGGCTTTTTTTGTATCTTCTTCACCTTATGCACATGAAAAATTAACCAGTAAAAAAAATGTAAAGCATCTTGCATTCACAGATGATTACGTCTCCGGAAGTTTCCCCATGGTGCCCAGCCTCCTGCATTCAGGGGCTTTTCAGCTCACTGAATGACTGGTACAGCTCTCCTCAGGGAGTGGCAGTGGCATTGAGGTATGGACACAGGATTTACCACGTTCAGGGAGGAGTCTTATAACTCAATGTCCCTCAGCTTGTGAGGGAGGGGTCTGAAGAGAGCTAGTTTCTTCCATCACCCTAAACAAGTTGCTTTCCAGCCTGTCTCTTGCACATCCCTCACCACCACCCTTTGGGTGCTTACATTCACTCTAAAGCTGATACTCGAGGGAGATCACTCAGTAATAGCAACTAAAGTGGCTTTTTGCTGAGTTGTGCTCTCATAGTGGGAGCAGGAACGTGGATAAGGCATGAAAAGCCATAACCCTGCTTGCCCACCTGCAGGGAAGAGGTTAGTGGCTGCACTGACCTGGCCTCCTTCTCTCCCCACATCCCTCCTTAGTCTCAGTTATGGGCCATCACGCTCTCGGGTGGGGATGTGCATTACTTGCCCACCTGGTTGAGGTCCTCTCTGGGTCCCAGGACATCCCTCAGGTTGGCACACCAACTGAGTTCAGCCCAGCTCAGGCTCAGGGTCCCTGTCTGCAGGGCCAGCCACCAGCTGCTCTTTGAGCATCCCTGTCCCCACCCAAAACAACTTAATCTCACGATCATATTGGAGAGGGAAGTGGAGGTCTTGGGGGCACTGGCGTACTAGGAGTGTTGGGAATTGGTGTGAGGAGGGAAATGAGTGTCTGACTGGGAGGACACAGTGCTCACTCAGCTCTTGCACCTTTCAAAAGCAGGTGGTGGCTCTGCAGGAGGAAGGAAATACAGAAAAATGTGGAGGATCTGGAGATGATACGGAGGTAGGAGACCTACCTCCTGGGGTGTTACCTGCAGAGATTCCTGTTCAGAGCTTGCCTTGGGGCTGACGTGGAAATGGGGAGGTTTGAGATGAACGGAGAGGGCTGTTTCATGGTGTGTGACCATTTTGGTACCGAGTTAGGAGCGCTGTAGCCACCAGAACTGATGTCCTCAACTGGGACCAAAATTTTCGTTGGACCTTGAACCTATTTGGTGGCACAGCTTAGGCTTAAGCCAGGTTCTTGGTGACTCACTTTCCCTGCTCGGAGAGACGGTCTCTTACTCCAGTCTGGAAGCTGGATATGTGCTAATTTGTGCCAATTTGGCCACGAAGGGTTTTGCTAGTTTCCCTGGCAGTGAAAGCCTAATGGATCAGGCTGTAATGTGTGCACACATTATGACTAAGTGGAAGCTGGGATTCCAGCTAATATCAGTATTTCTGTGATTTTTCCAGGAATTTTGGGAATTGTTAGTGCTAGTGCTTCAAAGTAAATCTAAAATGCACTGTGTGCTCTTTCAAAACAATGCTAGAAGGCTGTTGTTCCCACTGAGCAGTGTGTCCGAGAAGAGGCCTTCTGGAAGGAGGCTATAAATAGCAGAGCCTTTCAGTTTCTGAAAGCTCATTTCCATTAACCAAATCCATGCACTGAGGAAGGGATGTTATCTGGAGCTCTGGGTAGCAATGCTGTGCTGATTTTAATTTTTAAAAAAAATAAAAAAGAAAAAAATATTGCGACAATGCAAGTTACTTTTCATCCGTATTAGTAAAAACATGAATTTGGCGGGGTGCTGAGCACCTTTAGGATGGTGAGAGTCAAGATATTTTGTTTTACAGGATCATTTTGATCTGGAAGGGGCCAAGCATGCAAACATGATCTGGTTATCAAGTCTCATTACAAATTAATGTTTGCATTTAAAAAATACCTTTAAGCTTGTTCTTCAGCACGTCTGCAGCATCTCCTTTCTTCCTTTATAACAGAGCCCTTCATGTCCACGTCTCTCTGTTTGGCAGGAAAAATGCCGTTAGCGGGTAAGAGCTGGGACTCCTGCAGCTTCCCCTCTGTGGATACTCTTTGCAATAGGTCATTGCACTGTCACGCTGCCCTAATATATGAGCATTTACACCTGCTAGGAAAAGCAAGTCCACCATCCCCCTGGTGCGGCCCCAAGCAGTTGCATTCAGTCTTTTTATCATAGAAATAAAAATGACAATGACAGCAGAAAATGGCCGCTCTCTCTGGAGCTAGGCTAAGCTCTCCACTTCAAAGGTACTTTTATAGCATCCCTGGAGTCTCTAATAAAGGACGCCTGCTCTGAAAGGCTGGCATCTCTCCTGGAGAGCGAGGGAACGTGTGTCTTTAGGGGCAATATTTACAGCGTTAAAGGGCTCCAGGGAAATGGGAGCAAGAGTTACAGCTTACTACTTTTCCTTTTATTTCCAGAACTGCGCAGGCATGTTTGCCTCTGGTTGCTGTTTTGGGTCACTGGAGTGGATTTTGGAGCTCTGGGCATGATTGCCAGGCGTGCTGAGAGCCCATGATACTCAGAGTTTGCATGCCTCCTCTCCAAAGCTTTCTCTAGGAGCCACAACACCATTGTGACTTGATGGCGATCTCCGAAAGTGCCAGTTAAAATTCTCTCTGCTTTCTGTGCAAGTGATCTTTCCTTGTTCTGCAGTGAAATCTAGTCTCACCTGCCGTAGCCTTGGGCTTCCAAAGTAACGGTGTTTAAGGCCTCTTAGACTTACTGGCATTTGGCTGTTAGGGGGAGAAATGAAGGTATGTTTGGTGCTGGAGCCAGCTCCAGTTGGTGGGACTTGCTGTAGAGATAAGCTGTCAGGCAGGGCTTGCTGCCCTCCTTCCCGGGGCTGCTGGCTGCAGACCGGAGCTTGAGTTCAATGGTGTGTGTCTATGTGGTTAGTCTTTTGTTTTGTTTAATTTTTTTGTCCACTGAACAAACACCCCAGGATTCTGCTTTTCGTGCCGGTTTGTGTA